CCGCTGCGGCGAACCTATTGCCGTCCTCGCTCACCTTGCCCATGAAAGATCGGATTTCCTCGAAGTAGGACTCGTCGCCGGGGCCCCGGGACGGCCGCCTCCGATCGGCCGCGGCGGCTGCTGCTGCTGCGGCCACGACCGCGGCGGACGAGGACAGCCGGTCGTCCATTATGGTCGGCCCGTCGGCCTCGTGCTTCTTGAGGTGCCGGTCCAGGTTCGTCTGCTGTCCGAAGCACCGCTCGCACAGCGGACACTTAAACGGCTTCTCCTTGTTGTGTATGTTGCGCACGTGTCGCTGCAAGTTGGACGATATGCTGAACGACCGTTCGCAGTAGTTGCACTTGTAAGGCTGTTCGCCCGTGTGCGTTCGCAAGTGCCTGGTCAGGTTGGCGCTGCGCGGGAACACTTTCTGGCAAAACTTGCACGAGTACCTGAGTGCACAGAACGCATACACAATGTATTGTTAGTCAAATATTATATGAGGTTTTTTTTCTGATTTGAGCTGATCGAGCACAAGTTTACACGGACATAATCAAATGATAAAGGGATCTAAATAGAAGTATCGAAATATTTATCGCGCAAAAATATTTATATTAATATTATTAATTTWATGTATAGAAATTAAATATCGTGAGTCAAAAARAATGATTAAAATGAAATTTTAATTTTCCTCTCCTCTCTATACACATGTAATATTTTTTACTTGAACTACTACCACCACCACCATTGAATAATACTGTCGAGTRTCTATATTTTTCTCTTCCTGACCTCACACCGCTTATACATGTAACAAAACCTAGTTCCGGTTTTCTCACTCRGTCTCTTCTCACACTTTGCTCCCGCCGTATGCACGACTGCCCAGCCCCACACCCTCTGCACCAAACTTAGGCTAGGTCAAACCTAACGCGCTATGGCCAAACCCGAAGAAGGTGTGCTACGTTTAATGTTGTCATTATTATTAATAATATTATTGTCATCATCGCCTACCTGTCTTTCGGTTTTCCGGACGTCTCTTGAAACGCTGACGACTTCTGCTGTGGAGATCTGGCCACTGGTGGCGGCAGCGGAGGCGGCGGAGGCTGTCTGACAACGTCGTAGGTGGGCGGAGGCACGTGGTGATGCCCGTTGAGCAGTGGCGAGTTGATAAACGGATAGTGCTGTGACGGTCTGTGGTAACCGCCACCTGTCTGGTAACCGGCCAGCGACGAAGGCATCCGGGATTTGTCGCCCACAGCGCCCGCCCTGTAAATGGCCTCCAACATCATAGGGTGGAGCGGCTGCGGCGGGAACAACACTGGATAGTTGACCATCCGCTGGTGGTGATGACGTTCGTCTTCGGCGGTTATGCCACCGCGGCGGTGATGTTGTTGTTGTTGTTGTTGTTGTTGTTGTTGTTGCTGCTGCTGTTGGTGCTGTTGGTGCTGTTGCTGTTGATGCTGTTGCTGTTGATGCTGCTGCAGATGGTTCTGGTTCTGATGGTGTGGGGTTGGTTGGTAATGATGATGATGATGATGATGATGGAGGTCATCGGTCACGTTCACTTCTTTGTCAGACGACGAACAGGGGCTATGCACAATGGCGCCACGGTCGTTGTGATCGGAGTGGTGAGAAGAGTATCGTTGCGGGCCAACCGACGGTGGTCCCGGGCTGTCGACTTCAATGTCCTCCGGGGACGGCGTCCTGATGATCAGGTTCTGATTCTCGTCTTCCATTTCATCGCCACGGCGTGACTTTTTGTAGTCGACTCGCAGGTCGAGTGGTTGGTCGTTGTTGACGCCAGTGCCACTGCCGTCGTACGGTTTGAACGCGGCCGGCGACATGCGGTGCGACCGGAGCGGCGACCGTGGTGACGATGACGGCGAACTGCCACCGTTGCGCGACAAGTCGAACGGCATCATGTCGTCGTCGTCCTCGTCGTCGTCATTGTCGGCGGCCGATCCGTCGTTGTCGCGGTGATGACGGCGATCCGGCTGGTCGTGGTGCCGGCGGTGGTGATGGTGGTGAGCCGGGTACACGGAACCTTGTTTGGGCGACACGCACGGCACCACTGCGGGAACGGCGACCATCTTGCGCGGGCTCGAGTGCTTCTCGCGCATGCTGGACGGGTCACGCGGATGCGCTACTGATGCGACCACTGGTCGTGGGTAGTAGGTGTACCACGCCGGAGGAGACGTGTCCACCACGCTCATCACTTTGGCCACGCCGTCTGCGAAAACATGAAATACGTCATTTTTATTGTTATTGCGTCTAGGGGTAAATGGCTGTGTGAAAATAGTGATACATTTTTAATTCTACATTTTGAGAYACCGAAATTCTCTAAATCGTTACAACATAAATATAGGGAACACAACATATTTTTAAACTAACCAATTATTGAAAATAACGCAAATCGCTATTGTTTAGTAATTTACTATATAAACCTTAGCCTAAATAATTATGTACCTCAAATAATATTATCATCATATTATAGCATAGGAGTCAGATTAGAACGGTTACGAAAATTTTTAAAGTTACAATGTGATACATGCAAATTTTAATAATATATGCTTGTTCGAAACGTATAATTATAACTATACTAATTAGTTTTGTTTTWAAAGTCTTAGTTTAACGTATTTCTTCTATAAAATAACGCGATTTAAATAAACAGAAACAGAATTAATAATAACGCACTATTTGGAACGTTTGACAAGAAGATGAAACACAAAACCTAACCTACCAATCTCTATGACTTATTATATACATAATTCTATAGATAGCTGATGTTCTTAAGGTGACGTGCGTCATAATATTATTATCGTTATCGGTGTGTCGTCGTTATCAGTCTAAAAKTTGATACATCTTATTCGGTCTTTCTGATTGGAAAAACCAAAAACGCTGAAGGGGGTGGAACGTCATGCGTGCGTACGTACAATTTAAAACGGTTAAATAAATTCACCGCTCACAACGTGACGCAATGTGGCCGCCCGATGCACTTACAGCAACACACATACAAACGCACACACACATACACAAACGCGTCTGTAATTGCCGTCTGGACGAACTATGCGACGACGAGACCAACTGCAATTTTAACGAGGAGCGGCGCAAAAATTTGGTCCGTGTAAACCCGGTAGCCCGTCCGAGAATTATCACATGTCGTGTTTAAAAGTACACAAACGTCGTCGCAGTAGTTGTCGTCGTGTCTCAGGTACATATGGTATGTACTTTAACAGAGGTAGTTACATGTGCTGTGTGATATTATTAAATTCACCAAGTTTGACGGGGACGAAGGAGGAGGAGAAGAATAAAAAAAAATAAAAATAACTACTTGTCGTCGCTCCGATTATCTCTTGACGTGTATTAAGTATAATATATATATATATTATTATACATTTATTATTATTATTGTGGAAGAAACTTCCAATTATGTAACGTTATTTGTTATTTTTTTTTCCCCGTTCGCCGCCYGTCTGAATGCGGATCGCAATTTTCGTTTTGGCGTTTTTATTTTTTTCACGTCGTACACCGCGCGGACTTTTCGCTAACGAGCACCCCGCGACGAAACCCGTTTATCGCATTTCCAAATCGGTTTCGGCCGATAAAAAAATAAAAACCTTTATATATAATAATAATAATAATATAATCCACGACAAAATCCTAAGTACCCACCGCACACGTATAACCTGCAGTGTATTATRTATTGTACACGCGCGTTTTTTGGCGAATCCCGACGAAAACTAGACCACGGTGACTCCGCGAATCCGGAATCGCTCCCCTGCAGCAATTGGCCAGGACGAGATCTATAACAAGYCGATCGATCGATCGATCTACGTCTCGTTAAATCAGACCGCGCAATCACCGCACATCGCAGTATATTCGTATACATAATGGTAAAATATACATTATTTATTTGTCGTACGAACGTTTTTATAATAATAATGATAATAATAATATAATTGCCCGACGATCGTCGAGACGCGATTGGAAATCACGCCCAGACGATGCATGCATGCGTGCGACTTGCAGACGATTATACATTATAATAGTATATGGCACGTTTCAAGTAAATGAAATCTCAAAATTCAACAATCGCTGCAGTGATGATGGAGCGTTTTATGATTTTTCGCGGCGAATACGCTTGTTAATGGCAAAACGCTTGCTATTACGCGTAATTATAATATGCTTAGACCGCGGTGCAATACATTAAATGTTTGAAGTCGCATAATAATAATAATATAATGGTTATAGTAAAAGGCTGCACACATAGATAATTATCTTCTTGTATAAGTTTTATCCGGAGTATTTTGATGCACACAATTATTACACATAATACCATGTGAATATAATTTACCAGTCACCAGACAGATACAGCGTAACATTTTGTGTATAATATACGATACCTTTAAAAAAGGACTGTTCYGTTTTTGAACACTGRGTACCTTTGTCCCKTTTTTTTTTTTTTTAGTAGATAATTTAATCCTGTTATCTCTAGACATTAAGTATCTATTATACTTGTAGGTATGRGTGATAAAGACACCTTTTACGCGCAATAAAAAATAACAATACATTTTTCATTGTCTTGTATTATGTTAGGTACTGAATCGCAGTTAATAGTGATAAACRATTGTTTATTTTTTTTGCCCTAGTTTGTATAAATATCATTATTGTTTTATTSTCATATATTTTATTCTTAGAGATCGATACTCTTTATAGAAAATACAGGAAGTTATATTCATGCTTTAAGATGTAATTTTTCCCAAGATAATTAAATCGTCAATTGTTGCATAGAACAGAAGAAATCGATACATTGTTGCATGATACTGAGCGTACATTATAATTTTTTTTTCCATCAACGATGTTTTATGTTGATTATTATTATCGACTCTTAACGCATAATATATTTATGTCTCCGAGCGAGTGTTACATTCGAAATATTCAAATATATATCATTAAAACAAATATAATATCGTATATTATTATAGATACAGGTACCTACCTACTACCAATATACTACCTACTTACTTCACAACGTATTAATGCAATATCTATATATTATGATCCGACGAAATTCTCGTTATATCGTTATATAATCGTTCCATGCTCATTTATAAATTCGAATGATATATCATATTATATATTATATATGTATATAATTATTGATTATACTCGACCCACGATTTGCTACTAAATAATAATCGATCAGTAATGTGCGGTTGCACATATAATAATATTATGACGCTGTGATAAAAAAAAAAAAAAACATACATGTGTGGGTGAAACGAATAAAGTGTAATAAGCGTAATATATTACGTCTTGTAGTATGTATTATAGGTACAGGGMACGTACGTCATATCAGCAAAGACTGAAAACGAAATAAATTCAAAAGTTGAAACTTTCCGATAAAACTATAAGTATAGGTTAGGTTAGGTTATCGGTAATCGATGCATAATACATAATATTAAAATATTATACCATTGCGGTAAAGCGAAAATATAACGTTAATTATTTACTGTAGGTAGGTACTGTTATTTTTCGAAATACAATGTACCTATTGGGAATCAGTGATTGTTTAAATTTTATATTTAAACAACTTGGATTATAATAATATCTCGAATGATTATTACATYGTTTGCTTATCCCTAATTTGAGTTTGTTGAAGTCGGGTCCGGGATCATTGATGGTTTGAATATGCCAAATATTTTACCAACGTCAAAAGTGGTAACGGATGCTTATATCATTTATAAATACGAAAAATCCGCTAGCGTAAAAACGCTCAAATTACGCAGAAAATTTTTCGAAAAATTGGGCCATTCGACGTAAAATTTGAATTGTTTACGAGTCGTCGGTACCTACAGCATTATACAGCTATTTCCAAGCAGCTCCGCAATATCATAACGTTGTTACAAATGATAAAAATATGATTCGGCAATGACCGAAAATCGAAAGGAAGAAAAAAAATACCTATATAATAATCGCTCGGGTTCGCGTTGCACTTGCACAACTGTAATTCTACAGGTGCTGCTACCCGGTCGTCTGTGTAATACCTATACGTAGCGCGGCATTGTTGTCGGACAATACTATTACTATTATTATTGCCTATCGTACACCGTCGCGCACGTGCTCTGAGTTCGTTATTATTTTACTGGTCGCGTCGCGCAATAATACGATCGCATTATACACAATATAATTTATTATATGTATATACTATACATTTATACARGTACGACACAATAACATAATGTACTTTACGAGATGATGAACACCGTATTTATACACGCGGTGGCGATCGTTACTCGCGCAATAATAATTATTACATCTGTATAATATACTCTCGATACTGTACCACCATAATATATATATATATATATATACCTGTGGATAATATGAGTATTTTTATAATAATAATATAATAAACTGCCGACGGATTTTTTTCTCGCCGATGTTACGTAATAATAAACAACCGAGACGATTATATTGCATCTCGTTATTATATACCTATACGTCATATACACGAGACTCGCCGTATCATTGTTCTTTATATATTCGCATAAACATTGGGAACTAGAACGTTTTATTACTATTATTGTAATTAATTTATTATTATACACTTGCGACCGTTGTAGAAGTGGCCGGTACTYAGTCGTTTACCCGCTACCTTATGTACACAGATAACGCGGTCGATATCGGTGAGAAACTGAGAACCTCGGCATCGGTATTCTGATATAGATATTAGGTCAGTGTTATGATAGTCAATAGATATTATATATTATGCGTTTAGATCTTCGCAACGGGCAATAATTTCGGTTTTCGTCACACTTCACGGTTGAGTGAGTGTCGAAATCTGCTTAATTTCTGACCCCGGCAATAATACATTACAATATACCTAATGAAAACTGGAAGACGTCGCGACGTTCGGTTTTTGTATTTTTTTCGCGATCACGTACCCGCCTCACGTCAGACCACGTACGTTGTGCACCACGTGTATAACTTTCTTTTCTGAATTTGGTATAAAATGCATTCGGTCTTATAATATAATAATAATAATGATGACGACAATAATAAAATATCGCTGTAAGAACGAAAACGGTCACCTCCRCTGCTATATATCTATTTCGAAATGTTCCAAGGCGAAAACGGAAAGCAAGTACACAACTTCACATGGGAAATACGGTTTTAGAAATTTAAATTCCAAATTAATGCATTAAACACTCTTTTAGTCCATATTTT